TCCATGTGGGATATTTTAAGGGCTTTTATTTTTTATCTTCAAATATAAAGTCTTATAAGCACTTGTAAGGACCGCTATGAACCCTAAGCATTGTTAAAATAAAAATCACTAAAACAGAATTTTGTGAACCATCATTATGACCTACATTCTTATAGGAAATTGGAACCATAAATTTTATAGCTTGGTACATGCTCTTTTCTTTATGGAAGTAAAACAGTGAAATATAGCAAAAATATACTTTAATATATTAGTGTATCTATTGTCAGCTTGCAAAATCTTTAAATTTCAGCTCTTCAATAGAGGGATTCTCTATTATTTTTAAGAATGAAGCTAGACTGTCGATGTCAATTGCCAGAAATAACATAGGTGTAATGGTTGTAATACTTTCAGAAATGAACTAATGCCTCCTGTTGTAAAAATGCTTCATGACTTTTATCAGCAATGTAATACTTTTGTCAATTTAAATACAATAATTTAGTTATGAATTTCATTTTTTATGCAAAATAATTCAATCTGCATAGATGAAAAGATATGCACGAAAAGATATGTATTAAAAACGCTATCATCTTCCAAATAATAAATTAATTTGATTGAATGTACTTTTAAAATGAAATTTAACAATAAAATTGCATAATCAATCAGTATTGCATGCTTTATCGTGTTTAAAATGTGTAATTTTGCACATCTAACTGATATTACAAATAATAATAGCATACCTGCCAACCTCTAAAGATAAAAACATACCACAATAAAATATCTTAATAACAATTATCCACAAAACAATAATAAACCAAATAGTGTTTAAAATGGTGTAATTTTTTGCACATTCTAAAACTGATATTACAATAATAATAGCATAAAAAACACCTTCAACCTCTAAAGATAAAAATTCAGAAGATTTTTCTCCAAAATTCAGAAGAACAAAGAATTAATATAATGCTTTATATTAAAAAAAATAACAATTTATACAATAGAAAAAAAGAAAATGTACTTACATTAGTAATCTCAATTAAGTAGTAACTAAAAAATTTATTAGGAACATAAAACAAGAACTTAATGTTAAAAAAAATTATTGCAATGATTTAGAGTGCATTTTTTGGCTTTAGCCAAAATTCTTTGGAAAATTTCCTTCAACATTATTTTCCTCATAACATTTAGCAATTAAAATTTTTTCTGAGTTTTTGGTGAAATTGAAGAACGAAACATACTTTTGTTTTTCTCCACAACACTGAAGACTCTCTCGCACTCAGCATTACTGTGTGGAATTACGAGAATAGCACATAAAACTCTTGCTAGTCTATCATATTTTGGTGTTCCATCAGCTCTTTTTATTCTTTTTTCCAAGGACATCAAGTCTCTTCTCCAGAACTGGCAAAGTCTTCAACTTGCAGCAAAATTGGTTCTGTGTTCATCTAAAGCATCATTAGGGCATTTTTCTTTAATTGTTAACAAAAATGGAAATTTTCAATAAAAAACGAATCTTTTCAAAAGATGAATTTTCAATTGTTCAAATTGCCACTTCATTTAAAAGAACTTCATTGCAAAGGTACTTCCTTACAATGTAATACCGGCTGAGGAAAAGTATTTTCTAACACAGTAAAAAAAATTCTCTTTCTCATGATATTTCAAGAATACAAGTCCCTAGTTTGATTATAATTATAAGATCATTGGTCATTTTGATTTGCCAAACAATAGGAAAAGGAACTCACACTGTTTTCACTAGGAATGGTTTTACAAACTTAGTAGAAGTTCTTTCAAAAGATCGTAAGATTGGGATAAGTAGGGAGATTTTGGCGAACTGATGTGAAGGGGATTACACTTCAAAAATCAATGGACTAACAAACTACAATATGCTTTGTTTCAAATCCGAAAAAGAAGATAGAAAATCCTTTCATCCCGCTAATAGAAGACGTTTCTTCTTCCTTCAACTTCTTTAACAAAGTTGACCTTGAGAGTCTTCTAAGCATTTTCTTTTTAAAGGGTTTGATTCTGTGTTTTCTGTTGGCTTTTCACTTTTTAAAGCATTTTGATTAGAAGCAAAGTGTTTTCGGAATCTTAGATGCCGACAAATTTGATGGATCTTTTGGTTTCGTTTTGGTCTCTTCGTGAAATATTTTAGCATGCATCCCACTTGTTCAAAAACTTTCTAGCACTCTGCTAAGGAAACCTTCTGTGCATACAGTTCAGAACTTTTCTCGTTTACCTGAGCACAGTTCTTGGAAATTTTTAGGTTTTGTCCGTGTTACACTTTTTTCCAATCGAAAAACACACAACAGAAGCTGTTCAATATTTAATGGAAAAGCAGCTGAAAGCTTTTTCTGATGCCCAAATAATTAAGTGGCACGGGCATCCAATAACATTATTCATTTTTTCTTTTTTTAGGAAGAGGCCAACACCTTGTGTCACCCACAGACATGAGCTGATCTGACCCAAATGAAAGCAGTTTGATATGGGATGTTAAGTGTTTTCAACTCATTATACCAAGGAGGCACGATTTTCCCCGTAGCGTCTCCATTAAAATGGAGAGCAAAGATGAGTTTTAATTTCATTAGAAACTCACAGAATATTGAAAACAATGGGAAGCTTCAACACGATGTCGTTGCTGCCATCTATTGACACCGAAAATCTGACTTCTGGAGTGCAGTATTTTTTACTTTGTGATCGCAAGCAATTGCATTCACATAGAGATGTTTTCGTGGCCCCGAGCACAAGTTTCGGCATCCTGAGTCGGGAAAAATCCGTCTGAAAGTTGAATGGCGTATGGCAGCCGTTTAGAGGCGTTGTGTTCGATGAGGTAATGCATAACAAAACACTTCCAAAATGACATCGGCTCCGGAATCGTAGCTGAATTTGAAAAAAAATCATCCACTTTCTTTGACATTGTCGATGCTTAGTTAGACGTTGTCGAAGTTAGACTTAACATGCTTCACAATGGCACTTCTTCCACCGTGACTTATTATGAAGTCACACACGCACACGTTGCAACATGCATAGACATTTCCTTTGAAGATTCTTTAATTGTTGAAAATTCAGCTTGGGCAGGCCGAAAATACGCGAATACTTTTTTTTTTTTTTGAAACTCATTCGTAAACAAGATGTATAAGAAAATTCTAGCACGTGCAAAAAAAAACCAAAAAAAAAAAAAAAAAAAGAATGCGACAATCCATGCTGGCTGATCATTCCCTTGCTGCTGAAGCGATAGCAAAAAAATAATTGGCGCCCACAAGAAAAGAGTGGAGAAACAGTTCGCGCATTGGATTAGGGTTAAAGCGATAGTTGAAAACGCAGGTTACTGGATCGAAGTAGGTCTGTAGTTTGTCGGTAAAACACGTATGCAAGTTGGCCCAAAAAAAAAAATCCGCTGAATTGGGCGAAAAATTCTAAAACTAAAATTTTTCGACAAAAATCACTAAAAACACTTGAAAAGGAAAATCCGTAAAAAATTGGATTAACGATCTACATCATAAGACAACCGCCTTTTCGTAAAATTCGAAAAATCGTACAAGTTGGCAGGTATGTAAAGTCAAGACAACATCCTCCTGGGGGCTTAGGCTTACTTTCATCATTAGGCTGATATCTGAATATATCACATTGTTTGTAATCAAGCTGAGATTTTTTCATGAATACAATTTAGTATTGTTAGGTTTTTATATTTATTAGTTTCTATTTTTCATATAAGTGTTATTAATATTGTTTTATCGTCCCGTGCATCAGCACGAGACTTCTTTGAAAAGAAAGCTACGCCTAAAAAGAAAAAATACAGGAGCATGCACATATCATAAATAGATATCGCATAATTGTACTTTTTTGCTTTCCAGAAAACTCGAGAAATTACAAGAAGCTTTTACAGCATATAAATTACAAGAAGCTTCTCATGCATTTAAAAAGCTGAAGGAAAACATCTCAATTCAGTTGTTTGGATAACTGTTGTTTACAGTAGTGAATTCGCAGTGAAATCAGATTATCTTTCTCTGTTTTGAATTAAGTTCTGCTGAACGTTTTAATAGTTTAAATGATAACTACTGCGAGATATTGCAATATTGTATGAATATCTCTACGGAAATTTAAGCATTTTGTTTTTATTTGTTGTGATAAGAATAAATTTATTCACTTTTCATCGGACTAGTGCATTGAATTTATTACAAACCCGTACACATGCAACAGTATGGTAATCCTAAAAGAATAGTTTACTACAAATCCTATAAAGAATAGTTACCTAGACTACAAAGCTCTAGCAATGATATTGGATTAAAAAGCAGTATAAAGCCAAATAAAAACTTTAACCATGATCATCAATAAAAAAATACTTTTTTTTATTTTTTTTATACATATTTCTCAGTTGTATTGGACAGATATGAAGATTTACTATGAATGAAATGTACTAAAATGTTTTTGTAAATTTTTAAAATAAGGAATTGACAACTGTAGAGTAAAGCTTAATCCTGAATATTATTGTGATGATAAAAGTTAAATTACACTACTAGCAACTGTATTTGGCAGTATTTATCTTATTTACTGACAAAATATTATGTGGTGAAAAGCAATTGTTATTCTCACTATTTAAGGCTTACTAGTGGCTTAACAGATAAGAATGAACTGCTTGCATAGGATAAAAGTTAGTTTTCCTTAGAAAGTCCTCCATGAAGACACCCCCTTAAGCAGATAACCTTAGTGTGCCATAATCATATACTCCTAATCTAGTGTAAATGCTGCTAGAAACAAACAAGAAAAGCAAAGAAAGAATTTATAGACTGATAAAAGAAAGTTTAAATAATAATGAAATAAATTAAATTTTTGTTTAAATTGTTAATTCTAAATTCTTCTACTGATAATAAAAACTGTCTTTTAAAACTAAATTTGTTGATGATGATTTTTAGTTTAAAAATGATTAAATGACTAAGTTTTTCTATTAATCCTTAGACGAAGTCTGTTTGATAATACATCTCTGGAAGGAAAAGAATAAACTTACCTTCGTAAATTACACCATCTGTTGTTATTTCAAATGTATAAGTATCTTGTGGTTTAGTCTTGTTTATATTGTGGAAACTAAATAAAAGTAAATCTTTATATCCATTTTCTTTTGTTTCCAGATGATCTACATAAAAATGAGGGAAACAAATCTCAGCATTATTATTTTAATTAATAAAAATTATTTTGGCAATTAAAAAATTTTAATGTATAAACTATCCCCAAATAATTGATAAATAATGGAATTTAAAATAACAAGACTTAAATATTAGAAGCTAGATGTACCACCACTGATTGACTTCCAACCTACAAGACTACAAAATTGGGAGATTTTCTCAATGGCACACTGATTTTTTAAATAAAAAATGAAGTAATTTTAATATACATTGTTAATAATCTAATTAATTCTAAGTTCGTTACTAAATTCAAAATATACGAATAAATACATGTCAAAAATTTTTAGTACTTTTCCTTTATCGTGCAAACCTCGCCAAGCAGACATTTTGTTGCAACATATAGTCACCAAAATGTTAACAAATGTTAATCTAAATTTATTTTGAATTTTTTTTTATTTTTTCATTTTAAACATTTAAAAAAAAAAAAGCCAAAATAAACACAATATTTGTAAAGACATTAATTTAGAAGTTACTATCTTTCAGTTTCACTCCTTATTTGCCGTTCATATCACTACCCCAGTATCTCATCCACGTAACTACACTACAAAAATCTAATTCTCTCATTAGTTCATAAATCTTATTTACTACTTTGTAAATTAAAATGTAGTTCATCGGACGGCTCTTCTCGAATTACGTAAAACCGCAGTGCTGTACTTTGCTATGCTCTCATAGAATTGATGAATTTAACCTGACCTTTGCCTTTTCTGTATTTCGCCTTCATGAGCTGTAGCTTTTCATCCTAATTGATTTAAACTGTGATGTCCTTTACGGCATAAATTGAACCATCTGTACAAATTCTGTAATGTATCCAGTATTGAAGAACAATATAAAATGCTGCAAATTGTTTTGAAATGCGGCTTAAAGGTACGGAGAATTCCATTTGTTGTTCATACTGGCGATTTTATCGCCTTTCCGCAAAAGGAAGTTCCCCATTTTATTATTACTAAAAAAAAAAAAAAAATAATAAATTTAGTTTTACTTGTGTTAAATGTTACTTGTGTTTTACCTTTTAAAGACCAAATTCGGACCCAGGTTAATTTTTTAATTACTTTTTTTTAGCCTGTCATGTTTTAATACCTTAAGTCAAAGGTTATTAGTCATTTCAGTCAGAGGGGAAAAAAATTTCATATTATTTGATTAACTATCCAAACCTGACCAAAATCACAGGGCAGAGCGCTGCGTCATCAAAATAGGCAGAATGCGTGTTTATATGGCAACCACTAATGCACACACTTGTGTTTTTAGGATTAGAGCATCATCTTTGTGATTTTGAACAACAGATATAGATTCTGCCACAGATATTATAAAGAATTGCATGTATATACACTGCGAAAAAAAAGGGCGACACAGTTCTATATCTCCCGCTTTACTTGCCCAATTGAGGAAATTAAACTTGCACTTTTCATGTCTCGAAAGCACGACTTAGGATATGTATTAGATTTATATATAGCTTTGTTGTAATATAGGTATTTTGACACAAAATCGGACTTTTTAGAAATGACATGCCTACTTTTTTCCATATAGATGACTCAAATTTACTACCTGCAAATTTTGAAAAAATCATCTCTCAAAATTTTAGCTCCTCAATGTTAGTTGAATTGAATATTTTATTACTTCTCTTTTTTTAATTAAACTTACTTCATTTCTTCTTCCCAAAATTTTCAATGTAGTTCATGGCCAAATAAAATTCACACCCGATTTTTATGATTTATGTTAAAAATTTTGTATTTTTAATATTTTTATAAATTTTTTGAAAAGTTTTGAATTATAACCTATAAAATTTTTACCTCATATTAAAGTAGATGCATTTCAAGTTAAACCTGCAAAAATTGAGGTTTTTTTTTTTTTTTTTTTAATTCAAAACTTCATAGGATATATGTGATTACATATTTGCGAGTTTGAAATTAGGATATATGTTATCGAGCAATAAAATGCCAATGTGGTTTATGCACTTTGTTAAAATTGTTTGAAATAATGAACAATAACTTTTTTCAAACTAGTTTACATGAAAAAAAAAAGAAACGGATTGCTATCATTACTAATTTCGCGAGTGAATTACTCTTGGCACAACTGAAAAAAATATGCCAGTAAAATTTTTTAATTTTTCATAAATTTCACAACAGCAAATTTTACAGCACTTTAGCTATTCTTCCTCTTTGAGTCGTATTCCGCAGTATGGGGTAAAAATGTTATTTCAGAAAAGTCCAATTTGTGTCAAAATACAGGCTGCTGGAACAGGGTATTCAGAAAGTAGGAACGTTTGGAATTAAAAAGAAACACGTACAAAGAAAAAAAAATTATTAAGCTGCATCGAAAGAGCAACTAAATTCTACTTTTCTACCTAGTCACCAAAAAATTTAAGCATTTATCATAGCGGTGGACAATCTTTGAAATTCCTTTTGTCATAGAATTCTGTTTCTGTTCTGCCGCCTGCGATTTTCAGGCATCAGCCACTCAGTGATGCGCACGCCGCAGCTCCTTGTTGTCGTCAAGCTCTTTTTTGCTACCAGTTCTCATTCTTGAACAGTAAAAATCCCTATTTGCAAATCAGGACTATAGGGCGGATGAGAAAAAAACCTCCTATTTGAATGAATTAAGGAGTTCTTAGTGCGGTTTGGCCATGCGAAATAGGGCATTGTCATGCAAAACAAGTTTTTTGAGTCAACTTCCTCGACCTGTTTTGAACTGCTCTCTCTATGTTACGCAAGTTTGATAGTACCGCTCAGGTTTTATTGTGGCACTACGTTCAAGAAAATCATCAGACTCCACACCTTGCCTTCCCAAAACACAGGTCGCTATAATCTTCTTGGTGAACGGTTTCAAAATTGTCTGGTCTTTTGGGGACTTGTGTGCCCCCACTGCATGGACTGTAATTTTGTCTCGCATTCCTTGTCTCACCCACGTCGATCTCCACCATTTCCCTTCGATCCAGTAATGAATACCACATCTGTCATAGGCCCTCCAGAATGTCAAAGCTGCCCCCAATCGCTAACCTTATGGTGGTCCTGTACGCAATTTCGTCACCCTCTTCCCCCCCCTTTTGTGTCGCCTAGCTTTTGTGTGCCATTTCAAAACAAGTCTGTGAAACTTGTGAAAAACTACGCAAAAGCCCGTTATTTGTTAACCGTCGGTTTTCATTCACCTCCTTGTTGGTACACTCCCTTTATCCTTGCTCCCCGTGTTTTCGTCCCACCTTCTATGTCGTCCTTCCCTCTTCCCTAATTTCCTTTCCAAATCATCACAAAAGTTCTCCTTACCATTTTTAAACGAAAGGCACCATTTCCTGGAGTGAACTTCATTTATTAACGTTGTTTCCCGTAACTTTACACACTTGCGATAAATTTCCATTGTTTTAGGTTTTTTGCTAAACAAAAACCCTATCACAAGCTGCCCTCGACAACTTCGGATTTTCAATTGCAGCGCACATTTAAATTTGAATATCGAAAAAACTGGCAGCGTGGGAAATGTCCCGTTGTGTATGTTGGACGCCGACGGAGATGCCAACACTCATACACACCAAATATATGTATCTGCGCATGCCTACGACGTCAGCGGAAACCGTTCCTTACTTTCTGCATAGCCTACTTAAATCTGATATATATCCTACGTCGGCACTTTCGAGACATGAAAAATGCAATTTGAATTTTGTCAATCGTCCCAGTAGAACAGGAAATATAGAACAGTTCCCCCCCTTTTTTTTGCAGTGTACATACATGTTTCAAAATTTTTATTATTTAAATTTTATGCAACTGTCAGAATTAATTCAATTTTTCTTTGTCTTAGAACTCTTCTCAAGATAATAATAAATCCACATTTATTGGTAAAGAAGCTTCACTTGTAGCTGGCAAATTTAAGAGGAGACAAGCGCACCTCATAATTTTCAGACCTGAGTTTTCCTTTTTTAAGATGCCTGCAATATCAGTCTTCAAGCCTACCATTACTAGTGAATTGGCAGCATCAAGTGCAAAGCAAGCGATAATCCAAAAGGATTGCATTTTCTTTTAAAATTTTAATAATTACCTATGCTATATTAAAGCCTGGTGAATCTCCTTCTAAAGTTCAAAAAGAAAATTACACTGAATTTCGGAAAACACTGGACTAAAAAAAGAAACAACAAGATAGAGTTTTGCATCAGTATTATTGCTTCCAAATGTAGAGATGTAGAATGGAGCTGTTTTAATACAATAATACCTGAAGATTTATTTTTCATACTCATTTCTTTAACAATTTCCGCCACTTTTGTCCTTTCATTTAAATATTTTATAAGAATTTCATTATCAGGAAACATTTTTCTAAATAAAGTTCCAGCATGATCTTGTGCATTCAGTCGCAGGTTGTGCTCCAGTAAAAAGAACTCTTTTAAACTTCAGTAAGGTTTATCAGTAGAAAGTACAAATAGAGATGGCCCAGATGAAACAGCAAAACATTTTATCAGATACTGGATGAATAGGCAATTATACTAACATGCAAACATTGCATACTTTTGATATATCTGAAAAGTGAAAAAATATGTAATGCCATTCTATAAAAATATTTAATGTTTTTAATTAGATACATTTTTATGCATCCAATGAAAAACATTAAATATTTTTAAAAGAAAATTAAACTGCATGTGTTAAATGCATTTCTATTTAAATCAATATTATTAAAAATTAAAAATATAATATTCTTAAGAACCACATCTGTTGCTTTTAAATGGCTTAGTTTGTGAATCAATAACAAACAGGTTCAATCTGAAAGATAAATATCTTGCAATTTTTGGAATGGCAACAAACAGACTAGAATGAAAAGTGAAATAAGAGAAAATCTTGTTTCAAGGCTAATGACCTTTTTGGTACAGAAACAAATAAAATTTATATAAAATAAGCTTTTCTTTAAAATGGATAAAATAATTAATGAACTAAAAGGATAAAAATAATTCATCACATAGTTAAATGGAAACAAATAATTCTCTTTATGAAATTTATCTACAGTTTTTTTACCACGGATAAAAAAACATGGGCGCCTAAATAACAAAATCTAATAATCAAACTGCACATTGTTAAATATAATTATAAAAAACAATCACTTGTATATTATAATCAAGGGTGCTCCTTGTTTTATTGCATAATAAATGCTTTTATAATTTTTATACAAAACTGTAAATGAATTTTGTAAACAAAAAAAGTATTATGCTCTTTCTTCTTCTATACTATATGATAAACTATTTTTATCCTCATACTTGCCAACCTATGACACTCAAAAGTCAGGAGATTTTTCACAATGTTAAAAAGACTTTTTAAATGATAAAAATATAAATTTTAATAATGAATTAACTTTAAATAGTTACTAATTTTTAAATGCAAGCAACACAAAATGCCTTACATTAAAAAAATTTTTTTTATTACTTTAATCGTTTAAAAAAAAAAAAAAAAAAAAAAAAAAAAAAAAAAAAAAAACACCTTTAATCATTTTTTGTACAATGTTATGAACAGTGGCAGATATTGCTTTCGTTAAGAAAGAACTTCAATAATTTTGTTCATAGCAATTGCCATGTAGCCTGCTTTCACTAATAAAAGTTTTTCTAATGTGTCATCACTAATATTAGATCTAAATTTAGTCCTCGTTTTCACAACAACATTGAAAATCCTCTCACACTCTGTATTACTATTGGGAACTGTCAAAATGGCCAACATAATTCTAGACAGTTCATGATATTTTAAAATTCCATCAGCACCTTTCAGTTTTCCAATTAAACTCCACTAGGTGTTAATCCTAGCTGATTTTATAACTCCATCCAAGTTTTCTAATTGTAAACTGCAAAATTATGACTGCAATATTATCAGTGGCAACATCAATATCATCATGTTCGATGACTAAATGAAGTAACAAAGGAAGACTGCTAAAAAATTTTTTGTTCATATAACAGAAGTATTAAGATTAAGCCAAGTTCCATAAAAATCGTGAGAAATTTTAAGAATAAGAAAAAGTCGGGAGAAATATATTGTAAATTGGGTTGGCGGGAGAGCGGTCGAAAATTGGGAGTCTCCTCCCTAAATCGGGAGAGTTGCCAACTCTGTATCCTGTATCCAAGTTGGCTTGACAATGTTTATCTTGCGATTTGATTACCCCCCAATCAATATTTGACTTGAAGAACTTGAGTTCATTCTTAAGATTCAAAGATTTGGGGAATAACCAGGAAAACCATAAATTCAAAACAAAGTAAAGTTATTATACAAACAAAGCACTTCATGAAGAAAGCTTTGCTATGTACAAAATTTAGCTAACAGTTAATAACAGTAATATGTAATATAATCATTGATTATGCAGTTTTTTGTACTTTATAGTACTGAATTCTAAATTAATACTTCTGAATGTGGTTCTTCTAATTTTTTTGGAGGTTGTACAGAATACCTTTGCTGAACACAGACTTGCAAAATGCAGTTTTGCATATATACATTATCTTTAGTTTTATCAATTTAATTTGTCCAATGCAAGAATTTTAATTACATGCAGTAAGCTACAGATCGTCGGCCACATTGTGATAGCCATCTTTAATGACTTGTTTGAAAATTTACTCATTAAAGAAGTCAGACATTACCTAGAACAGTAAAATTTGAGTTTTAAAACTCTCCTGATTCTCGATAATGCTCCAGGACGCGATGCTGAAGCCCTCACAACACTGCATCCAAATGTAGAGATTTTATTCTTTCCATCAAATACCCTTTCCTTAGTCCAACCAATGGATCAAGGCATTATAAAAACATTCAAAGCCTATTATATCCAGCATGTTTACATTTCTGCAAATAAAGTTGTAGACAAAGGAAAGGACAACACACTAATGGCATTTTGGAAGCAATTCAACATAAGATTCTGCATAGAATTGTTCACACTCACATGGGAACATATAAATTCATCAACAGTAAATGCTTGCTGGCACTGGCCAGAGGTTTTAAAGGACAGGATCAACTGAAATTGAAGTCAAAGAAATTGTACAAACTTCAAAAGCAATAAAACCACAAAATATTTTCAGATGTGCAAGAAGGGGAAAAATCAAAGAATTAATAAAGAATGATGATCATGGAATGACAAATGCAGAAATGGATGATCTTTAAACCTCAACCGATGATGAAAGCAGCGACCTTTAATGTACAAGAAATTAACAGAATTGTTAAAAAAGGCACAGGAACTGTCTGATTTTATAACGGAGACTAACCAAAATGAAAAAGAACAGGACACTTTAAGAAAAGGTATTGAAACATTTTGCACTCCTTACTGTGTAAAATATTTAATGAGTTGCATCCAACATTGTCCTACACAAAAATCACCAGCTATTTAAAAAAATAATTGTATCACATACCTAACTATTAAGCAGTAATAGAAATCCTTTCGATTAACATTTGCTTCATTTTAAATATTTAGGTTTGTATAAATTATACATACTTTCTTAATCTGAACTGTACCAAACCAGTTTTTTTTTCCATAGAAAGTCAACTTCACAGAATATGATTTTGCAATATGCGCTATGTGTTAATAACATAACCCCCATGTTTGGCAATGTTTTATTGTATATCATGAAACACTTTTAACAAAATGCATACAGTTATTATTCTATTATTTTATGTGACAGTATTGTACTGAAGATACTAGCTCAAATGAGTGAAAATTGCTCTGAGTAGTGAAATTCATAGAAGAGAACCTTATTATTAAAAATCTACTAAAAGGCTCTGTTATTTAAAATGAAATTTAATATTTAGTTATTATGTCATAAAAACATTAACTGAAAAAAAAAATGTAGAGCTGTGATCCTCTTTTCATTCAATCTTTCATTATAATGCACTTTGTACTGAAGTACTGAAGGTGTACTTTGTTTACTTCTTTTTATTGTGGCAAAATGGGTAGTTTTAGAAGGGTCAAAGTTCTCGAATCTTTCATCTCCTGTTCTGCATCCCTTAGGAAAGTGCACATTTTGATCCATACATCATGGCAGTTGTAGTTTGAGTATGAAATACTTTGCAAACAGTTATTTAAAATTCTTTTGGTTTCTTTAGTCTGCTCCCTCTCCACACACAGTAACAGCTAAAAGATGGATGCCTTCAAAATGAATTCCCTTGATAAAGGAGCCAGCACTATTGTATAAAACAGCCATTTTTATACCTGCACATATATTATATTCAAATACTTTCTGGCAGTTTTGTAATCTGTATATTAAAAATCCTTTGCAGTAATTAGTAATAACAATAACAAGAACTATGTGCCAATACCTCTACCATTATAATGTTATATACAAAATTATTAATATCTAAGGTAATAATTTCCTAAATATAATAAATTTATATTTTTATTTGATTAAGTCTTTGTTCATTGCAAAATATAGCTATTATTCAAAGTGCGGATAAGTGCACACAAATCAATAACACACCTCATAGATTCATAGTGAATAATCATCTCTCAATTCATTTTTGACTGATAAAGTTAAATATTAGACATCATCTAATAAATAAATATGTTGAAAAATAAATAACTATATAAATATGTTGAAAAATAAATAATCAACTTACAGCGAACACGTTTGATTTCCAGTGCAAGATATTTTTCATATAATGACAGTTTGTTTTTTCTGATTTCATTCATCAGATGACATTTTTCTTTCTCTACACAGAATATTTTTGGTTATTTCATAGCAACAAAATTTTCTCAGCACATGAAAAATAAGAATTTCCTTTCTCTAAGCATTCTGTTTGTTTTCTAAATTTATAATAATAAAATAATACAGAATTCATACCTCTCTTTTTCTTTTCGAAGAGAGATTGGAGTTCGTTTTGTTTCTCAGAAAGTGAATTTTGTCGCTGAAGTAAACTTTCTACTGTCTGCCTAATTCCATTTCTATTAGCATAATCTAAAAAGATAAATAAATGAAAGAATAACTCAGATTTTTAAATTATGCTATGTAAAATTATAGAAAACATTTACCATCCTTTATAATTATAAAAAAGCAGAGTGGTGACACTTTTGTAAAGAGTACAAAAAAATACATTTATAAAAAAAATCTTTTATTGGTATTAATATTTTTCAAAGAATACCTTTTCAGTTTTTAAACATTATTTTTACACGATTATGTTGAAATAAAATATTTTATATATAATCAAACAGAAATGTACAAATTTCTTTAGGACTATCGATAAATAAGATCATGATTCAGACTACCATTAATGTCAAATGGTGCCAATGTGATTGCATTAACACCTTTTTTTATGTACCATATTCTTTATGCAGAAACTCTAACAATCTAATCATTTATTTTAAATAATTTGGATATATCCAGTTGCAGTTTTTCCATGCAGTATGTCTTCCTGTCACTATTTCTAAAGAAAAGAAAAAAAAAAAAAAAGTTTTTTTTTAAATCACTCTGTTATTCTTGACTCAAATGAGGAGCTTTATCTTCACTGTAGAGATAGATCGTTCACCATGTCTCTATCCTTTTCAATTAATTCATATTCAATCAGCTGACAACTGTAATCAGATTCAGGGAAAATTATTGTATCAGTCAAAAATTTTTAAAAACAATATACTGCGGCATTGCAATGGAAACATGCAAAGTTTCCGCTTTGTAGAATTCAACCGCAATTTTATTTTTTGCATTCTATGAGATATCGCAGAGTGTGTACGGAGACGCAACAATCTGCTTTTCGTTGAAGTTATTTTGAGTATGAGAAAGTTTATTTTTTTATAAATTTGACACCTGCCTCACTCCACATTGGTGACCAATGCTGGACATTGTAAATCCTTCTGATCATTTCATATAATTTGGACTGTACGAAAATGGAATTATACTTCCATATACAATGGATAAAGTATGGGTTGCAAAAATAACCAATTTCATTCCTTCCGATCCATCTCTGTGGTTCACGGTGGCGGAATCTACTTTTGAATTAGTGGTTCTAAAGACTACAACAGAATCCAAAAATATAATCACTGTATGGCAAACCTACCACCTGAAATCACTATGACAGTAAGAAATATGATCATTTCTGTTGATAAAAAGCATTCATATGAAATGAATAAGTGAATAGCATGTTAATGTGGCAGAAACATTTGTTTTGGAATTATTTTTACAACTACTTATGAATATGCAGTCTATTTTAGCATCAATCACCCCTATAACCACATAAAAGACTTCTAAAATAGTGCATAAAATATTGGAAGTATCACCTACCCAGGCAAGCGCAGTTTCTAATTTTTGTGCATCATCCTATATTGAGCAGAGCTCTGAACTGCTTAAACAGTAATTTGCTTTGCAAGGAAGTTGCTTTTCACCGACGTTCAAGAAGTCATTCTCATAATTGTAATTTTCATCATATTACTAATAACGAGAAATCCTCTGCAAAAAGTGGTTTGTGTTGGTACCACCACGAATTTGCTTCTAAAACCAAGACGTGTACCCCATCTCGAAGCCTAACAGCAATATACATGCTAACAAGGTTCTCTCAACCACACTCCATCATGCAACAGCGGGTTCAACTGAGCACAGCCACAGCCCATCAATGCCATTAATGCACTGGGCTCACAACCTCTCCTTCAATGATATTTATTACAAAATGTTATTGCTAAGCATATGCAATTTAGTTAAAAATTAGCTGATTCAACATATTAAGCATATAGAGTCATTAAGTTATTTTAAAGCAGGAGGCATGAAAAATAAGCAATGCCCTTACCGGGACTCCTACCTGGACCTCTTGAATATATACCAAGTGTGCTAACCATTACAACCACAAAGTCATGCTGGAAGGAAGGAGAAAATGAAATGCCGTTATAGATTCAAATTCTGCGTAATATCTTCTTTTAATCATTTTAATTTTGAGAAAACAAATTTGAAGATTGTAGGGTTTATATTTATTTTAACTAACATTTATTTTAAGTTTAAACTATCTTTCCTGTCAAGCCTTACTTTCCCCTGGAACTGCCAATGCCAGAGTATGTAAATTTCAGTAGAACGCGCAAGGATTCAAATTATCAGCGGAAGTATTCTGATTTAAATAGAAAGGAAACGAGTTCGAGGTGTGATATTCTTACTTCACGAGCGCGGAGGTAGTTGGCCAGAAATTGAAGAACCCCGCGTTTCGGCCTGTGTGCTTGCCTGGAAGTAGTGTTAATCGTTCAAGTGATCTTCAAGTTTGCTGAATTAGCAGCGGTATTGTAAAACGCGGTGAGTTAGTTACTTTTAGAGAGCCTCGTAGTTAGAGTCTTGTCTTTAGTTTCTTTTCAGGTTATTATTTTTATTTTACCGCCGAGTTGGCGTAAAAAGGGTACGCGAGGCGGTATATTTCCCGCAATTATACAAAATAGTAACGGCGTATGTCAGGTCCTGCAATCAATGTCAGTTAATAAATGATATTAATTACAGCCCGGCCGGGTACTTAAATAGCATTCGCGCTACATTTCCGAATGAAATTTTAGGCATAGATCTTCTTGGTCCCTTCCCCGAGAGCGAGTTAAATAAAAATCGTTTTCTTTTAGTAATAGTAGATCATTTTTCAAAATGGATAGAAATTGTTCCACTTAAACGCGCGTCAGCCAAAACAGTCGCAGATGCATTCTTACACAGATACATTTTAAAATACGGTGCACCGATAAAAGTCATTAGCGATAACGGAAAACAATTCATTAGTCAAATATTTGAAAACATATGCAATGGACTTGGCATACGCCATATCAAAATGGTTCCGTATAGACCACAGGCTAACATAGCAGAAAGAGTTAATAAAAACATAGTAAAAATAATTCACAGTTACGTGAGCACACATCACAAGCGCTGGGATGGCTACATAAATGAATTAGCTTATGCTTTAAGAACGGCACATCATGATACTACGGGAAAAACTCCAGCAGAATTATTTTTAGGCAGAAAGTTAATTATGCCTTTAGATAAATTATTCTTTGTGCAACAAAGAGAGCAGGAGTTTAAACAAAAAGATGTGCAAAAGCTCATTGATCAGGAGCTTAAAACCTCGGATACGGCAAGAAATAGGCAGAAACTATATTACGATAGAAAACGCCGTGAAGCAGATTTTAAAGTTAGGGATAAAGTATTGAAGTGGAAATTTTCTTTATCAAGTGCCCCAGACAATTTTATGGCAAAGCTAGCTCCAAAGTTTTGAAGGCCCCTATGTAATTCAGGAAATCAAAGGAGTAGTCTTATATCTTAAGAACGAGAGAGGGGAAATCTGTAAAGCAAGTCCCGACCAGGTGAAAAAATACTATAATCCCAAATGATTTTGAAATCCTTAAAAGTTTCTTGCAGGACTCAAGTCTAAACAAAATAGAAGGTCCAGAGACTACAACAACTATTCCACCACCCAAGAAACAGAGAAATGAAGAGAAACCTAGCACTTCTACAACCCGGACGTCGGTATCAAAAAGAAAAAAATAATTTTCAAACTCCAGCGTTTAAGAAAAACAAAAATACAGATGCACCGGGTAAAGAAACCGTGGTGTAAAAGAGAAAAACACCACCTACAAAGGATAGCAGGAGAAATTACACATCAAGGAGAACGCGCACACGGCCACAGAGTCAGGTGCCAGCAAGGCCGCCGTTCCGGAAACTGAAATGCCAACAGGAGGCACAAAAATACGACGAGGAACAGAAGAAATTCAAGAAGAAGGACTCCAGACCGGAGGACGTCAAGACCAGCCATCCCAGGGAGAAACGGAAAGGCCAACAACCAGACGATTACTCCGCCAAGAGGCCAGCATGTAGAGGACGCAAAAGAAAAAGTCAGGTGGACGACACTCGGAGGGCAGTAAGGAGAAGATTAACATCCATGAAACCTCTAACTTGGGACCAATTCTGCCAAAAACGAATGACGGAGTTTCAAGCATCGAAAACTCAAAGATAAGTTAAAACCTTCTATAAATATTTTTCTCTTTTGTTCCGAAATGTTATGCATAAGTATGAAGTTCTATGTTTTGACGAAAGTCAATATGTCTCGGTTGAGACTTAGTTTTGTTTTACTTTATTTAGCTAAGGCAAAAGTATTTTTTTCTTTAAGTGTAAAAGCTAAAAACAAGCATTTTCTGTTGGTCGAAAGACTAATTCTGTTATGTTAAAGCCAAAATTTGGCCGAAGATAAAGATAACTTCGTATTCTTGTATTAATAAGAATTTTACTTTCAGTGCCGCCAGCTTGGCGAAGAATGAGTAAAGTAAAAATTTATTTTCTCTTATTCATTTTATGGTAAATTGTAAAAAGCATATGTATTAAAATTTTGTAAATGTATGTAAATACTTGAATGTTATGTAAAAGTAGAATTTAGTCTAGAAGCATAAAATTGTAGATGCTAAAAGTGAATGCTTAGAAGCAATGAAGTCAAAATTTAAGTATTAAACTGTAAAGTCATGCTTTAGAGCGAAAGCCTGCATGTTTAAAGATGAAGAGGGGGAAGTTAGAATGAATGTGTTTTGTAGGGTTCTCCACCTACATTTGAATTTTTAAGACTATTAAAGTAGCTCATTGAGTGGTAGAATGTCGAGTAAGGTGTGTCTATTTGGTCATTGAATTCTAACAAATCATGGTGGTTAGGGGAAGTGTTGTAAGACTAAAACACGAATATTCACGTTTGACACCACACACGGTGGAGAGCCAGGGTAAAGTTAAATTAATGCTTGAAAAATTGAATGAATGTGAAGTAAGCAATAACTAAGAAAAACGAATCGTTTAAAAACAAAAATTTATTGTGTCAAGAAAGTGTAAATTATAATGTATGTAGAAAGATACTGATACTTATTCCTTCCAGATGCTGGAAGGAAAGACCAAGATTGATTGATGAAGTCCAGGAAAAGTTGCTGTAAGAAGAGAGCTTTGTAACGATCAACAGAATTTTATTATATACAAATGATTAC